CACTCACTCAGTTCAGCTGGGGGTTATAAGTTGACCACCAGTTATCAATCCACTACACCCAGTAACAGTTGGGACATCTTTTTCCAGTATACCAAGACTATTGGTTACTTTCTTCTCACTGCTGAGACAAAATACACAACACCCAAAGTTAAAGGAGGAAAAGTTTATTTAGCTGACTTCATGGTAGGCAGAAGTGCTATCTTCAAGAAGCAGCAAGCAACTGTCCCTTAAATCTTACCTAGTTTGCCCACCCTTGGGGCAGGTAGCACTCACACCCAGGATGAGGCAGCCTTAATCCTAGCGTCACACTATGAATCAATCCCAGCGTCACACCCTTGATCCCAGTTGCACACTCCCTAGATCCAGCCACCTCCCTAAAGTCCCACCTATGATAACATGAGGCTTTGAGGGACATCTAGATACAGCTATAGCAAAGACAATAAGGGACTTCCTATATATTCAAATATTCCACAGATTTCTACCACCAAAGAGACATTACTGTTCCCTGCTCCACACTGAAGCATGCCCCTCTCAAGGGCCTGCACTCTAATTCTTGACTGTGTAATTTTAAATTTCCACCTATTAAATCCCTTTGTTCCTCTTACTGATGCATCCTAAATTTCTTTCCATGACTGCAATCAGCTGAAGTGCAACTTACTCCACAGGTAGGGGGTATAAGATCTCCCTCTCTACTTTGGAAACATCTTCAGACCCTATGATCTTCATACTGTATGGAGGGAGAGAAGAAAGAAAGAAAGAAAGAAGAAAGAAAGAAAGAAAGAAAGAAAGAAAGAAAGAAAGAAAGAAAGAAAGAAAGAAAGAAAGAAAGAAAGAAAGAAAAGAGGAAGCAAAAGAAGGAGGGAAGATATGGTTCTGCTAGATTGCTATGCAGTCTGGAAGATATGCAATTGCTTTTTTCTACCACAAAAATTCAATTTAATTTTTGAAAAACATAGCTGATGAATTGATCTTTAATTCATAGTGTAGCCAAGCCAATTTTTCACCTCAGTTTTGCTCCTGTGTTTTGCCATACTATATAGCTCTAGCATGAAACATTTTAAATCATTCAGTTTAATGATCTCTGGAGTGCACTGTTGCTTCATTCTACTTCTAATTAATATTATGATCAATCCTGACCCTATCTTATAACAAATATGTGCCTTTGGACAAGTCATGAAAAATGCCACTCCACTATAAACTTCCATTATTTGGCTGAGAAATAGTGGTAGCTTCCCATAACTTGACACATTTTATATCATGACTTTAATGCAACAGGGTCATTAGATCACAATGACATTACAACAGCAATTGTACTGGTCTCTCCCTTGTTTTAGTGATTATCTTTGGTCATTCTACTTAAATGCATCATTTAGTGTGACAGCAAATTGTATTACAGAATGAAAGGGACCTTGGAGTAAAAAAACATGTCTAACTCAGACTGATTTAACATCACATAGCTTCAAGGTTACTCTGCAGCATCAGAGGTTCCTTTGCCATGTCTCTTTACCAAGAAGAATGCTGGAATCACTAAACTAGGTCACTTAACCTTGAGGGTTAGAGAAACAACGGAATAGCCCGCAGACATCTTCAAGGATATATAGATAGAAAACAACAAATATTAAACACATACAACATTCAAATGTATTTCAAACATATAAAGTAGGAAAGGTTAGGATTTTATCTTTATTCTTAACATAAGAGCATAAATTTACAGATACACAGACTAGAGCTTAATGGCTTTTGTCATTTACAAAATACCTAATTTTGAGGGGAAAATATGGTTACATTTATTAGTACTGCTATCCCCATCTTTAAAATTGAGACTTAATATCTATCCACAAAGTTACTTTCAAGGATTAAGTAAAATAAAATCTTTACTTAACATTGAAAATACTTAATCAATGAAGGAGGTAAGTGATAGGGTTGTTCTTTAACTAATAACTCAAATGATAACCTTTTGGTCAATAGTAATGTTTAAATTCAAGATTAAATTTAGGGTTCAGGTGATTATTTCTCTATACTTTTTTGTTGATATAAAATGTATCAGCTGTATCTGCAAACCTCATCTGTATCTCTGCCTTAAAACTGGAGAACTGT